AAATAGCCTTTAAAGGTACTAGAGTACAGTGGCTACCACTATCTGTGTTCAGTAAACCACTGTTGTTGATGAGGGAGTGAATCAATTATTTAGGACTGAACTATTTAGAAACAGATGTACCTGAATTCCACAGTCGTAGTGGCTCACCTACACTGAGCTTCGAGTATTTATTTTTTAAATTTCACTTTTGACAACCTAGCTAAGAGGGGACAGCTTTCATGTAGAAGTTTTTGTTCTATACAAGTCACATACTCTGTTTTAGTCATAAAGTATCAAAAATAAAAACAACAGATTAAACCCTAACCATTTCCCCTACATGAACATAATTATACTATCAAAAATCTAAAGTCCAAAAGCATCTTGAAAGGAATAGTCATTTAACTTCTTGTTCTCTATATGTCCTAAACCTTATAAATCCTGAGCCTACATTCTCAAGCTCTAATGACTTTTAAAGGTGAATTTTTTAATCCAGATTTTACATCTTAGTTCTGCAGCTAAAATTTGTTGCTTTCAGAAATCATTTGTACGTATGCCAGTTCAATACGCTTCAATCGGAGGTGAATTATCACTTCTGATTATACTTTTTTTTAATAAATTAAGCTAGAGACACAGAAAATAATGTATTCTTTGTTTCCCAAAGGGGATCAATCTGAGATTTATTAAAGTTGATAATGAGTCCCTTAGAAAAAGGTAGAAATCAATTCTGAGCAGGAAAGTTAAGGTAAGCAATATTACATGAAACGGAAACCAAAGATGGCTCCACTTTTGTTAGTTTAATACCCACCATATGTCAATTCAAATATGCTATTGTTTTTCTTCTAATGAAGATGGCTTATATTGATTAATAAACTCTTGAATTGCCTGCATACATGAGGTGTAAAACTTGCTCTCATTTAGATTGATCAAGAATTGCTTAATTTGATCTCAGAATAAAATTCCCCTTCAGGCAGTGAGTTGTATCCAGTTTGGATTAGGATAATGACATACTTAAGCAATTGCCATTTATCAAGGAAACTGGAAGTAATTACTAGAAAACTTACAGAAATTTAGAGATTTAAAACCTTAACATAAACTGAATGACAATATTTGCTATTTTTTATCCTCCCCAAAATTATCAATTTCTATTTAAAGGCATATAGTATAACAATAATACATTTGATACATTCATTATAATATGACCACATTCCTAAACATCCTTGAAGATTCATTCCTAAGGACTAAGTGACCTTTCATTCTTTAAAATATTTCACTCTGCTTAAATTTCAACTTCAATTTCCTCTCCCTGAAACCACAGAATCTCACCACACCAGCCCCAAGTTTAAGCATGTGCATACGTGCTAAGTCACTTCAGTCGTGCCCAACTCTTTGCAGCCCACCAAGCTCCTCTGTCCATGGGATTCTCCAGGCAAGAATACGGGAGTGGGTTGCCATGCCCTCCTCCAGGGGATCTTCTCGACCCAGGGATCGAACCCACATCTCCTACACTGCAGGCAGATTCTGAGCCACCAGGGAAACCCAAGTTTAAGCCGGCCTTAACTGACTAGTAAATGATCAGATAAGAAAAGAGAATACTATTAGGAAAATCATAGTGATGTAATCCTAAGGTATAATTATCTATCAAATAAATGAGCAGCAAAGGCCCCATATTATTTTTCAGGGAAGGTCCATATTCTTCAAACAAATAAGATTGTAATTAATCATCTGCCTTAAGGAAACCCAATATACTCCAAAGTAATTTAATCATCTGATAGCTCAACAGAAGCCTAGAACTAGTAATCTAACTCCACACTTTCAGGCAAAGAGGCTTTGGTGACTTTACAAGGAACCTCTGAAGTGAAGTCACTCAGTTGTGTCCGACTCTTTGCAACCCCATGGACTGTAGCCTACTAGGTTCCTCTGTCCATGGGATTTTCCAGGCAAGAATACTAGAGTGGGTTCCCATTTCCTTCTCCAGGAGATCTTCCCGAACCAGGGATCGAACCTGGGTCTCCTGCATTGTAGGCAGACGCTTTATCGTCCGAGCCACCAGAGAAGTCAACCTCTAGAATCCATTGAAAAAGATGTTTTCTTAGGGTTACAAGCTAGTTGTTGTCTTTTCAAGCAGTGCTCTGGTTGATAAAATAAGACACTAGTAAGTTCATTACAACTGCAGCAATCTCTAAATACACCACCCCTCAAGCCTCCTTTAGTTAATCTATAGTATTATAATTGTCCCCGCTTATCTCTACTCCCTTTCTCCAGCACTATCCTCAAAAGGACTAGTATACAGTATTGGCTTTTTAGTTCACAGGGCCACTAGTGGTTTTGGAAAGGAGGAATCAAAAACCTAATTGTTCTTAAAGTGAACCACTAAAAGTGAGTTACTGAATTTACAAAACCAGAGATTACACCCAAGATCAAGATCTCTTCTCACCAAGGTGACTTGCTATTCCAAGCACCCTACTGGAAAGTCTTGAACTTTAGTTAAAAGAAATGTATTACAAAACAAGAATAGAATCACTAACATCAACTTTATTTTTTAAAACAACAGGAAAATGGGCCCAAGATTAAAATGTTATCAATAATGTTCAGTTCTTCAAAAATGAATTATTAAATTTATTTCTTAAAATATATGCTGCTGCCTGTATGTGACCTTAATGGTTCTCAACTCCACAACTGGGCTGTGAAATAGAAACTCAGGCTGCCTCAGTCACAGCTGAGACCTGCTGGATCAGAATCTCCAGAAGTAAAACTCATTGACTAATCTGTAGGCTGCAGCTAACTTTTATGGACACATCATGTCATGTGTCTTTATGCCTTTATACAGCATTTCACTCATATTAAATCTTTGGACACCACATAGTTTCTAGGCACTGTACTATATACTTTCACATACCATTTGGAATACATTAAGATTTAGAGATGGAATGATATTTTAATATGTAACATTGATATGATTCACATCCCTATTAACAGAAACAAAGTATTTTAATATTGATAGGACTACAGCATATTCATTTAGCTCAATATTGACAGCATGGCTAGTCAAGCTTCAAATATTAAAGACTTAACAGATTACTTCTTTATTTAACAATTCAAGCTAACACTTCTAACATGGGTTTAATAATCCATGCAAAAATTTCTGTACTTCAGGTAGAGATTCCATTAAGGAATAGTTGTTAAAATTCCACTTCTTGAATGTCTTCTAATACTTCTTCAAATATCCGAGCACTAAATACTGATTTCCCAAACCTATCAAATGTGACAGAACAAGTAAATATTGAAGATCAAACTATCTGATTTAATACAATCACATTTGGGGGGGATTTTCTGTCTACACTATTTCCCTTGACTTTCTGAATGCCTCTGGGCATAGCTGAAAGACCGTTACTTTTCGTACCATGTGTTAAAGTTTAAGTGTGTTACATAACTGATTAACAATTTTTAGAAGATTAATTAGTATCCCAACAGAAATTTAACAGAACTTTTCATTAATACCTTAATCTTGATAGTATCAATTTCCCCCTCAGAACACTCTGAACTCCCAGAGATGGCTTCCAAATAGGAGCCTCTACTTACTTAATGGAGCTTTGAGCCCCTGAGAAGAGCTCTGTGGGGTGCTGGGGAACTCAGCGGAAAATGTTAAAGGGGCAGCTTACAAATGGGAATGCAAAGTAGGCCCTCTCAGCCTAGCAGGTTTCAAGTACTATCTATCCCTTACCCTGATTGCAACTTCAGCAGAGAAGAGTGGTTTGTTTGCTGAAATAATGAATAGTAGATGGCATCCATTTTAGTGGAAAGTTTTAATTGTGATTCCCTGAGGCTGTGTGAAATAAAACACCCTTATTCATTCCCGTAAATGAAGCCAAATTGTTTCCAGAATTTCTTCTGAAAAAGGCCATCTAGGAACACTGATCTGACATTTTGGTCTGTGATAGAAAACATTTAATGAATTCCCTTTTGTAGTGAAAAGCACTATATCTATGAAGATCATTTTTTCTGAAGTATGTTGTTATCTGATTAAATTTCTGCTTTTAAAAACTGATGCTGAGGTACAACAGAATGTTTAAGCTTGCCTCAGACATTCAGAAAATAAAAATGTCTATCCTGTCTGATTTTGCATGTTTTAGCTATATACAAGTTATGTCTGAAAGCAATCATCAGTGCCACAATAACACCTTATTACTAAATTTCAATAAACAAACAATTCAAATGGATTAAATGGTAGTGAGTACTACCACTACCAAGAAGAACTAAAGTTTACCCTTGCAAAATACACAAGATGAATTACCTAAACATTAGTCATTTTAACACTGAAGAGAGGTATAAATTGACCAACAGAACAAAGCACCTTCAGAATTCTCAAATACTTAAGGAATCTCTGTGATAAACAATTAGGTATGCTACTTGTATGCCAATTTAGCTATTAAATCTTTCCTCAGTGGTATTATAGGAAATATTTGGTTAATCTATTCCTTATACCTGAAATAAATAGTGTTTACTTAGAAATGTGGATACTCATTTAAGTTGAGAAGATTATTAAGTGTCTACATTTCAGGTGCTGTTCTAAATCCTGAGATGACAGTGGTGAACACAATGCTTAGGATCAATCCCTGTCCCAGTGGAACTGACATCCCATGGGGTGGGGAGAGAGTGGGAGGACAGAAAATAAACAAGGCAATAAAAGCAAATAAGAATGTCAAATAGGTAAAGGGAGAGAAATCAAACTGAGTAATGGATAAAAAGTGAAGTGGTAGGAAGATGAAGTGGAGGTAACTGAGCCAAGATCTAAGTGATAAGATAGAGACATCAGTTGGAAATTAGAGAAATTGCAAATCGGAGCTGGAAACTGCAAATCTACCTGTAGACCTGCATCCATGAAATTAAAAGATGCCTTCCCCTTGGAAGAAAAATTATGACAAACCTAGGCAGCATATTAAAAAGCAGAGATGTCACTTTGCCTACAAAGGTCCCTACAATCAAAGCTATGGTTTTTCCAATAGCTGGATGTGAGAATTGGATCATAAGAAGACTGAGCATTGAATTGATGCTTTTGGACTGTGGTGTTGGAGAAGACTCTGAACAGTGAAGTTGAACAGAAGGATATTAAGAAATGATACTTCAAACAATGTCCCATAAAACACAAAGAGAAATTGAAGGACACAGTCCAGAATTCTGGGGGATTTGGCTGAATATTCATTGGAATGACTGATGCTGAAGCTGAAGTTCCAATACTCTGGCCATCTTACACAAAGAGCCAACTCCTTGGAAAAGACCCTGATGCTGGGAAAGACTGATGGCAGAAAGGGACGACAGAGGATGAGACGGTTGGGTGGCATCACTAACTCAATGAAGATGAGTTTGAGCAGACTCCAGGAGATGATGAAGTACAGGGAAGCCTGGTATGCTGTAGTCCATGGGGTTGCAGAGAGTCAGACACGACCTAGCAAGTGAACAACAAGAATAAAGTGTAGACCACTAGTACATGAGAAAAGAAATCTAACTCATATAAAAGCAGGCCTTCTCCTAACATTTGTAGGGCCCACAGCAAGAAGACAAACAGGCTCACATACATGTGTCAAAATATTTATAACTTCTAACTCAAAATAACTGGCAAAGGGAACAAATTCCATCTTGCACCAGAATGCAAGTGGCATGAGCTCCTGGCCTATCCCCACTCCTCCTCTGCTAGACCTAATTTCACACTGCAAGGAGCCTTATGCCACCACATGTGGGCAACCCAACCTGCCCATTGGAGCCCATCCCCACACCCTCCCTACACAGAGATCTGCCTTGGCTAACCTTCAGGAGGCAAGACCCAAATCCAACGGACACTCCGAGTGTTTCTCATGTTTAGCTTCTTGAAAAGTATTCAACACTGAAATATCCTTTTATATTGATTTCCACAACATCATAGTTTACAGTTTTCCACAAATTTCTTTGGCAGTTCCTCTGCCTCTACCCATACCTTAAAGATTTTATCCCATAAGGTTCTGTTTTAATTCCTCTTCTTTCTCATTTTATACACCTTCCCTAGGTAATCTTGTTCATTTCCACGACTGAAATTATCATCAATAGGCTAGTATCTGTTTCTCCAGCACTGCCTTTTTCCCCAAGATTAGTTGCCTACTTAATAATTACACTTGGAACTCTCTCAGGCATCTCGAGCTCAGGGTCTTGAACTGCTCTTTATTCTCCTCTCCCCCAGTCTTGTTCCAGTCTTCCCTGCTTCTGAAAATAGCACCCTTCCCAACTGAGTTGCACAAGTGAGAAATCTGAGAATCATCCTTTGTACCTTTTGCCCTTTCCTTTGTCTCCTTCCCCAACATCCCACCAATTCTGTTTCCTCAGTATCTCTCAAATCCATTTATCCAGAACCCCTGTGGCCACGATCTATATTGTTCAAATTACTAACACTTCTATTAGTACTGCAACACCCTCCTAGCATCTCAAAATTTTCATGTCATGGTACAGGTTAAAGATGATAATATTGTAAAATATTCTGGGATAAACTGGAAAAGACTGTAAAGAATCTATTTGGGCTTAATTAAAAAAAAAAAAAAAACCTGCTTTTCCCTCATTGGGTTATTTTAAAAAATAAAGCATTACAACATGAAAAGAATCCTTGTAAACATCAAACATGTTTTTTCAAAATTTTAAAAGGAATTTTTATAAGCTTTCCTTCATAAATGTAACTTTTTTAATATAAGATTTTATATTGTACTTGAAATACCTATTAACAATCCTAATCAAGACTTTTTAAAAATGAACTCTTCAAATTCTTGATAGTCATTATCAAAGACAACATATATTCATGCAAGAAAATGAAACTGTTTAAATATTTTCACAAACATTTAAAAATCTACAACAGCTGAAACAGTAATTTAAAACTCTCTAAACAATTCTTCCTCTTATTTAAATGGCAAATATAATGTTCAAACTCCTTGGGATAACATGAATGGATTTTGAAACCAGCTACATTGTTTCATATCAAGACTTTCAAATACAATGATGGAAATTTTATCTGCAGGACACACGAGCACCATCAAAGCAGTTGCCTCCCCACTAACACAATTGATGGGGAATAAAAAGAACATCAGCTGCAAACAGAAATGCTAGCTTTGTATGTCAGAGAACGTCTTGGAGCTGCACCTTTACTCCACTTTTGCAGGCCCACTCTGACCAGCCACGTTGTGGACACTTGGAACACAAACCCTCCCAGAAGCCTATGGACTGTGAAAGACCTAGAATGAAGACGTGGGGAGTACATGGAATAAGGAAACCCAAATATCAAAGAAATGCATCAATCTGGGGAGCCACTCTCCAGCACTTTCACAGAATTGCTAAGGGATTGGCTCTCTTCTGGGAGAAAACTGCAATTCAAAACTGCAGTTTTGAATACAGTGGAAAACTACTTCTGAACTTTCTATAAAGAATATTTGATTGGTGAGCTACTTTGGTCTGGGACACAGTAAAGATACACTTTCTAAGTATAGAGCACAACCTGAACAGACATATAAATAATGAACATTTGTTGGCTGCATTCCCAGCAACCATTCCCTGCTTTGCTCTCTTATAAGTCTCTAGATCTTTCTTCCAGTTAGCGGCTCCTCCTTCTCAAAGCTCACAACTCGGTGAGTCCTAGATCTCAGATAAAGACATTCGTAACTTCGAAGCCCATCTCCCTCCTTTAATCAACGGTATAGTTGCCAAAGTTTAAAGTTCACTGTTCTTCAGAGGCAGCTGTCAAGAAATGCTGTCACTGTACTAGACAGAGCGATATGTCACAGCAAGAAATCAAACTGCTAGAGCATGCACTCTTAATGGAGGTGGTATCATCTCCCAGTGGGGGAAACTGGGGAGGAAACAAAGTCACTCTCTTTACGTATAAAGCAAAAATATGCATACAGTGCATAAACAGATTATACAGTATATATGTAGCAGTAAAAACTCTGGGGGCCATTAAAAGCTTTAAAAGCTTCCTTAAGGGGTTAATAATGGGAAAAAAAAAGATTGAGAAACTCTGCTCTAGAATAATGGCAAATATCACAAAAAGTAGATGACAACAATGGAAATTCAATTATTGATGTTACCGTTAACTTTATGAATCAAATGACACTATAAGTCTTTCAACTATAGCTTTCACTATAGCTTTCAACTTAACTAAACTAATAAATCCCCTTTATTGTTTAAGCAATGTCTTGATTTTTCTGTCACTCATAACAAAGTCACACTAAGAGGTAAACTACAGAACTTGTTCTGTTACGTATTGACACTGAGGATGGGAGATATAGAGTGCTCACACTGGGAGGGGCTTCAAGTCCAGTTCAACTGCTTGATATTCAGTTCAGTTCAGTACTCAGTCCTGTCCAACTCTTCGCAACCCCATGGACTGCAGCACGCCAGACCTCCCGGTCCATCACCAACTCCCGGAGTTTAATTAAACTCATGTCCATTGAGTCGGTGATGCCATCCAACCATCTCATCCTCTGTCATCCCCTTCTCCTCTCGCCTTCCATCTTTCCCACCATCAGGGTCTTTTCAAAGGAGTCAGCTCTCTGCATCAGGTGGCCAAAGTATTGGAGTTTCAGCTTCAACATCAGTCCTTCCAATGAACGCTCAGGACTGATCTCCTTTAGGATGGACTGGCTGGATCTCCTTGCAGTCCAAGGAACTCTAAAGAGTCTTCGCCAACACGACAGTTCAAAAGCATCAATTCTCCGGCACTCAGCTTTCATTATAGTCCAACTCTCACATCCATACATGACCACTGGAAAAACCATAGCCTTGACTAGACAGACCTTTGTTGGCAAAGTAATGTCTCTGCTTTTTAATATGCTATCTAGGTTGGTCATAACTTTTCTCCCAAGGCATAAGCGTCTTTTAATTTCATGGCTGCAATCACTATCTGCAGTGATTTTGGAGCCCAAAAAAATAAAGTCTGTCACTGTTTCCACTGTTTCCCCATCTATTTGCCATGAAGTGATGGGACCGGATGCCATGATCTTAGTTTTCTGAATGTTGAGTTTCAAGTCAACTTTTTCACTCTCCTCTTTCACTTTCATCAAGAGGCTCTTTAGTTCTTCTTTGCATTCTGCCATGCAGGTGGTGTCATCTGCATATCTGAGGTTATTGATATTTCTCCTGGCAATCTTGATTCCAGCTTGTGCTTCATCCAGCCCAGCATTTCTCATGAGGTACTCTGCATATAAGTTAAATAAGCAGGATGAAAATATACAGCCTTGATGTACCTCCTTCCCGATTTGGAACCAGTCTGTTGTTCCATGTCCAGTTCTAACTGTTGCTTCCTGACCTGCATACAGGTTTCTCAAGAGGCAAGTAAAGTGGTCTAGTATTCCCATCTCTTCAAGAATTTTCCAGTTTATTGTGATCCACAGTCAAAGGCTTTGACATAGTCAATAAAGCAGAAATAGATGTTTTTCTGGAACTCTCTTGCTTTTTTGATGATCCAGCAGATGTTGGCAATTTGATCTCTGGTTCCTCTCTCTTTTCTAAAACCAGATTGAACATCTGGAAGTTCACAGTTCATGTATTGCTGAAGCCTGGCTTGGAGAATTTTGAGCATTACTTTACTAGTGTGTGAGATGAGTGCAATTGTGCAGTAGTTTGAGCATTTTTTGGCATTGCCTTTCTAAGGAATTGGAATGAAAAGTGACCTTTTCCAGTCCTGTGGCCACTGCTGAGTTTTCCAAATCTGCTGGCATATTGAGTGCAGCACTTTCATAGCATCATCTTTTAGGATTTGAAATAGCTCAACTGGAATTCCATCACCTCCACAAGCTTGGTTCATAGTGATGATTCCTAACACCCTTTTGACTTCACATTCCTGGATGTCTGGCTCTAGGTGAGTGATCACACCATCGTGATTATCTGGATCTCTGGAAATTTGTGGAGACACTATAGACTAGTGACTGAAGTTCACATGAAATTGTGAGCTCTAGGCTTCCATCCTTAACTCATGAAAGTTAAAGAAGTTAAAAGGAATACAAAGTCAAAATTCAGGTGAACTGAGACAAATTACACTCCCTCAATTCTCTAGATTCAAACTATATTATTTATGATTCTTTGATTGCAAATAACAAAAATACAACTTGAATCAGCTTAAATGAAAAATGGGAATGTATCAGCTCATAAAATCAAATCACAGAATGGGAGAGGTACACTGGACCTTGAGGATGATAAGATCCAGAGTAATAAGCACTGCTGACAGCTGGGACTTAAAAAAAAAAAAAAGAAAAACTGCAAGCAAATAGGAAAAGGATTGGTTTTAGATTACTATCAACATCAGAAGTCCAAATCAGTATATAAAATATAGAAGCAGAAGTATTAAGGTAGATGTTCAAGATCATGTGGGAGATTCACTTTGAAATGCATCCAAAAAGATAAAAAAGATGTACACATGAGAGGATGCATAGACAGATGTAAGATAAAAACAAGAATAGTAAAATTTTAATGATAACATCCTACCAGTAAGTATATAGTAGTTTACTGTAACATTCTTTCAACTTTTCTGTATTTCGATATTTTTTATAACAAAATTTTTGGGGAAAAAAAACCAAGCAGAACACCATCATGACTATGGTGACTAATCCCTTGCCTGCAATATTCTAGTTCTAAACTGAGGTACAGAAAACAGATCATGCACTCCATGAAAGTTAGGACTGGCAAAACTATTCATTCAGCCAAAACATAAAAGAATTATCTCTTGAATTCCCACTTGGTAGCATCCACTGTTTTAAGATCAAGGTGTTAAAAAAAAAGTAAATATAACCTGTGAGTGAAAGGACAAGGTTAAAAGGTGACCATCCGAGTTTGGGAATTTGAGTAAAGAAATGACAGGTAAAAATGGTTATCCCATTAATTTAATATACTTTCATTTGGTGGTTGTTTTTTGTTTCGTTGCTCAGTCATGTCCGACTGGAGAAGGAAATGGCAACCCACTCCAGTACTCTTGCCTGGGAAATCCCATGGGTTGTAGCCTTCCAGACTTCTCTGCCCATGGCATTTCCCAGGCAAGAACACTGGAGTGGGTTGCCATTTCCTTCTCCATTCTATCTGGTTATTAGTGCACTAATTAAGCATCATTTTATTGTAATACACATAGAAATAAAGCTCTGATTTCTCACTTGGACAACTGAGTAGATAATGGGATCCTTCATGGAGACAGAAAATGCCCACAAAGAATATATACGTAGTGGGTGATAACTTCTGAATTTGTTTTTGTAATCTTAAAGTTCATGCTCTAAGTTACGTCTAAACAGAGATGTCTAATAGGTCCAGAACTCAGGAAAAATTTGAAAACTGGGAGAGATTGTGAGTTACCATCATAAAAGTGGTCAATACCCTGGGTAAGATCACCCAGAGATTGCTCTGTGAAAGAAATTATTCTTTCTTCCATTCTCTTACCCATTCACCAAATTATCATTGTTATTAAAACTACAAATAAAGAGTCACACTGTCTTCCAGGAGTTCGTAACTTCTTAATTGCCAAATTCAATGACCTATTCGCAATCCAATGTGTTAAACTTACTTCTGTACAGCATTTATTTGGTTAGCTATTCCTTACTTGAAAAACTCTCCTCCACTGATATTCCCATCACCATTCCCCTCACTTTCTCCTTTCTGACTGTTCCCTTTTTGGTCTCCTACTGAGACAGAACTTGACCTTCACAACGTTTCATTCTTAAACCTTCATCTCTAACTCCAATTTTCCCAATTAGGCTTTAGATCAAACTGACTGATGTTTAACAGATAGTTTAAAATTAAAAATTGTGTTGCTAGTACAACACAGGAAATACTTTTCACCTTAGAAATACACTGAGCTAGGTGCTTGTGAGAATCATAATTGATTTACTCCCGAGCCTGTTTACTCCTGTCCTGAAAATGGCAACAAAAATACTTAATTTGCAAGGCTACTGTTAATGATAAAATATGGATACATAGACGCAAAGTATCCAGCACAAAGCACTGCACTCCGACATGTACCATTAATACATCCTATAAGTTCAAATGAACGACAAATTATGCCAAATTATAAATATCTACCTTACCTAAAATTAACTTCTGCTCGTGAGCCTATATAGTATTATTCAGGTTACATACGCTGGCTCGCTGTGTATTATTTTCTTTAGAATCTCTGACAGCATCAGGGACTGGCTCAAAGTAACAGTAGCAATCGCTTCCTTCCAAACACCAAAACACATTTTCCTAGGCTTTTTAGGAAATAGTGCAGTTTAGCTTCGGAGTGAAGCTGAATGGTAAGCTTCCTCACAAAAACTCAATCCAATACTACCCCGTCCATTTGCAGGTGTCTGAGAGAAAAGGGAGCGGGGTCAAAACATACTTCACCAAGGAAGGTTGAAACTGTAGCTTTTATCTTTCCCGCTGGTTCCTAGAGGACCAACCGGACTGAGATTCCACCGTGCTCTGCGCCACTTCCGTTCGCGCGTTTTTATTACGTCACACGTCAGCTCTCGCGGTATTATCACTTTGCTGAAGCCCTTTAATAAAGGTCTCGCGAAATTTGTCCCACAGGTCCAAACAAGCCTCTCACCCTCCCCCACTCCACACCTCCCCCACTCCACCCCCAACCTGTCCTCCTTTCTCTCACCGAATTCTCCCCTCCCCTCCCGTGATCTCAAGGCCCTCCTCTCGGGTCCGATCTCTGGCCGGAACCGGAAGTTTGGTGGGCGGGGCCGGGCGGCGGAAAACGCTGAGGAGCCGGAGTCGGGACTCGGCTGTGGCCGCTGTCCCTGTCCCCGCCACGAATCGCCGTGGCTCCAGGTTGAAGGTCGGTCCGGAGGCGGGCGGGCGCGGGTCTCCCCCGGACTGCCCGGGCGGCAGCCTTCCCGGGCCCCCCGGGCTCCGCGAGGGATCATGTCTACAGCGTCCGCCGCGTCTTCCTCCTCCTCGTCTTCCGCCGGTGAGATGATCGAAGCCCCCTCCCAAGTCCTCAACTTTGAAGAGATAGACTACAAGGAGATCGAGGTGGAAGAGGTGAGCGAGGCCCGGCACGGAGGCTCGGGCCCTGGCCTGTCCCGGTCTCTGCCTGGTCCTGACTCTGAAGGCGCCTCACTAGTTCCTCTCTTTCTCGGGACCCACCCTGGCGTCCCCACACCCCACAGAGCCCGGGTGTAAAGCGGCTCTCCGCTTTCAGCGGCTCCGGGGTAGCTCTCTTTTTCCTCACTTCACCACTCTTGAGTTTGAATTTAATACTCCCGTGCTTGGAGGTTGGGTCATCTCAAACGGAAAAGGATAACTGGTGCGATCGTCTGGTCCACCAGTTCTAGAATCTGTAAGTAGTAAAATTTATCCAAGACCATGGCCGTTTTGGAGTTTTAGTTCTCCAAAACATGGTGTTCTTAAGGGTCAAGGATTGTTTTATGTTCGACTTCTGGCTCAGCGTCTGGCGCACAGTGGGTGCTCAATGGATGCTTCGTAAATTGATACATCCACAAGTCTAATAGTTTTTCCTCAAGTACCGAATAGCTCTGTTTCGCCAATTCCATACAGCAGTAGTCATGTTAAATGTTATTTAATAGCCTTCAATTAGACTAATTTACGTTAATTTCAGCATTAGTGATGTAGACTGGTTTAGGATGAAAAGATGTTTCAGGTAGCACATTCTGAAGAAATAACGAGTGATTTCAGTGACAACTAGAATGTGAGGTCAGACCAGAAGTCGCTGTTATTAAACCTGAATACATCCTTTATTCTGCAATATTTAAATTATTTTGGAGCAAGGTAATAATGTGCCTTTAGCACATTGCTTCTTTTCAATGCACAGAGGTTGGTTGTATAGACCATAAAAATTAGAAAACTTAAAGCTATATATATTTTAAAGACACTTTAGAAAGTGTTAAAACTTTGGTTGCAAATGGTATTTATTATTTACCATTTGTTTATCATTTAAGAAATTTACTAAGCACCCTGCGTTACATACACCCATGAGAATCCTGCATGTTCTGTATTACAGATCTCAAAGAATTATCTCTACTTTAAAAATTTTAAATTACTTTTACACAGTGGTAAGCTAAAAGTAGTGAGATAATTATCCTTCAACGAATGGCTTTTTTTTTTTCTATGCATGTTTTGGAATAATGGATTACTTTATTTTTACTTGCTTAAAATAATATTAAAGATCGCTGAAAACAGCCTCATTTTACAAGATAATGTAAGTGTGAAGAGCAAAACCTTTGGAGTTAGATGAAGGTTCAGTGTATCAGCTGCGCCATTTGTTAGCTGTGTGATCTGGAGCAAGTTTCCTGATGAGCCATTTTGAGCTTTAGTTTCCTTAACTGTAAAATGATTATAATTGCGACCTCATTTTATTTGTATGAGACTTTATTAGGCAGTGCATGCAAAATACCCAACACAGTGCCTGACACACATTACTAGGAAACTGAGTTCCAGAGAGGAACTGTGACCTGCTTTAAGGTCATATGGCTAAAAGAAGGACCCGTATTTTGGAAGAGGAGGAGGTTTTGTGTGTGTCTGTGTGTGTTTTTTTCTATTGAGACTATGATAAATTCTTTTTTCAGAATTGGATAGTTGATCTCGCTTTCATGGCTAACATTCTTTCTTTTTTAAGAATAAAAATTCGGTGAGTCAGTATAAAAGAATCGCAGTTTTTAAATAAGCATTTACGTCTACTCTCTGGCAAATTGCTATGCTTGTAGACTACAAATTGTTATATAATAATAACTTGTACGTCGTGGTCTACCAGATGTTTTCAGAAACTTACATCATCTGATTTTTACAACCTTAGTTTTCCCACACTGCTTTCTGAAGCATTTTACATTCTTGGTTATTCGTAAGGTGTCATTTATCCTTCTACTACGCTTTCCCCAAAGCTATTTAACCTCCTATTGAGTTGTTTCCAAAGACCCTTCCTTTAGTTTAGATGATGTTTCAACTATTCTTTAGTAGATTTAGGACATTCCTGAGGAGTATATTTTTGTTCCTAGATGAAGTTTTCTTATGTTAGGCAGTCTTTTAATTTTATTCTTTTCAGTTTTGATTACTCAGTTTATTTTCATGTTAAAGGTTTGAACTTAGATCTTTCTAATGTTAAAACCATTACATAATTTTCATCATATTCTTTATGTTCACATTAAAGCAGTGTTACTATATAATCTAGGCAGCACCATGGGCGCTCATTATTTCTCAACTTAAGATTCTGCTCTCAGCTTAAAATCATGAATAAGAGAAACAGAGAAAGAGGACTAGAAACAAAAAGTATTTTACATTGCTTTCATTATTATATATGGTACCAGTATATTGCCTACAAATGAAGAAAATCATATTCTGTTTCTCAGATAGCAGTGTAATTGAATCAGCATTATACTGATTCAGTTAGAAACTGTGTATAAAGAAAAATACTCTGACCATAGGCCAAATATGCACTCATTTAACAGATGTATATTTTTAAGGCATCGGCTGATTTTAATCCTTAACATTTCTTATACCATGACTCAGTAATAATCAGTGTGAAACTTTCTAAATTCAGTTTTGGTATCAAATTATGTCAGGTCTCAGCATTTGAAACCTATGTAGGTATTTTTAAAATTTTTTAAGTCATTTTAGCTTTTATCATTCTGGATCTGACTGTTAGAATGAATTGTGAGTTATGTATCAGCACACTGGGGACTAGGTTGCAAGAAGTGATAGAGGCAGTGTGGTGTGGTGTGGTTAAAATAAAAGTGTACTGGGCTGGGTATTTAGAAAATGTAGATGCCATACTGATTCCTCCATCATGTATTTCAGTAACTTTGAGCAAATCACCTCATTTTTCTGAGCTTCTTGATTTCTCACATAAAAAGAGAGAGTGAACAAGATAATTTAAGGTTTCTTCCCGTTCTAAAATGAAGTCGCACACTTACTGTTTCACACTTTTTCTGGTATTTATGCTCTGTTTCCACAGTCAGCTTTAAGAACAGTGATCGTGATGAAATGTGGTTTGTGACTGACTAATCCTGATTAAATAGGGCAAATGATGCTCCCGTTTTACAGATATTGACAACCAGTCAGAGTTTGATTTGCCAGAAGCCTCATATCTAAGTGCATGGTAGAGCAGGGAGTTGAGTTTGAGATTCACACTCCTGAGTCATTTGCTCTTTCCTCTTGGATTTTTAAGGTCCCTTCCTTCTTTCTGAAGTTACTTTGTAGCCAAACCTTATTGTAAGAATGGGAAACAAAATACCGATTTCATTTGTAATAGCTGGTCTCCAGCACTTAATGAACATTCTTTTCTGTGCTAAGATTATAAAAGATGAGTGAAGGATCCTAGGGTTCTCTCCTTAAAAACTTTGACTTATCCTGAGACTAGATTTTCAGAACCACAAATTAAAACTATGAATGTAATGTAAATTGCACGCTTAAGCCAAAATTGGAAAGTAGAGTTTATTACAGAAAGCTCCATTTAGCAGGAAAGATTTTGCAACTAGATTTAGAATAAAGTAAGTATCATAGATTGGGAAAGATACTAAAATGAATTCTTTGTAGTTGTTCCTCTGCCTCAAATGCTCTTTTCCCTAGAATTTCATTGACCTGTTCTCACCATTCAAGTCCCATTCAAGTGGTGGTGATGGTGGTGGTGTAGTCGCTAAGTCGTGTCCGGCTCTTGCGACCCCGGGGACTGTAGCCTGCCAGGCTCCTCTGTCCATGGGATTCTCCAGACAAGAATACTGGAGTGAGTTGCCATTTCCTTCTCAATGTTACTTCCTTGAAAAAGCTTTCCCTGAGCAACCTAGATCTTTGTCAGTTCTAATATCCTTCATGGCACTTAGCTGTCACTGAAAGTAGGTATCCCTCAGCACAGTTTAACCTTATTCACACTTTTAACTCCAATGCCTAGCATCTGAAGGTTTTCTGTAAGTAGTTGCTGAATGAGTAAATGAAGTTACTGCAGCATAATCATGAGAATTCTGGTGTCCATCTGGTTCTCTTTATGTGAGCTGGTCCTTTTATGTGATTAAACCAGAGGTTAAGATAAATTAGTGATTTGGCTAATGCAGCATTTACACTAAAAATAAAATCTGATTCTCTATGCAAATGTTGATTTCATTGCAATTAATTATACCTAGCAAATAGTTTGGTTTAACCAGGGGTAAAAGATTCTGCAGAGGGTCAGGTGCTATAACAATACAAGCCATGTATTAATGCGCCTTTACTAAATGCTAAAAAGACCCTGTTTGGCATGGTTGCTTTTTAAAGGGGAGATCCACAGTGTTGACATCAAGAATAGCATATGTGCAATGCACACATAATAATTGCAGCATTTATATGTTCTTAGAGACATGCAGAGGTTCTGTTTTAAATTGAAATACAGAAAGAGCTTTGACAGTATTGTACATTTTGTGATTTTTTTATGTTAAATGTGTGGGCAACTGATAATAGAGAAAACCAACTTATAGTGGCCTGAATAAACTTTGTATAGATTTGTTATTATTATTAATATTAAGAATATTCAGAATTATTAATAAGCACTTCCATGTGAAACGTGATTGTTGGTTTCAGGAGAAACCTGTAATTGTTATCACAGTGAAGAGGTAGCCATAGTGATAATGTTTATTGTGTGCCTGTGTAACTTAAAAGATGACATGAGCATATTATTTGAAAGAAAGGCCTGTTTAAAGGGTCAGATAGATGTCTTATGGCTGATTTTTAAAAGTCTGAATAATCAAAGCTTTACTTTGGAATTATAAAGTCTGTCTTGTCAGCAGGTGGCAGTTCTACTCTGCCACAGTTAATTAATAGATATTGAAGTTCTGAAATAGTTGGAGGCTCCAAGTTCTAACTAATAACTGTTCAGATCTCTGTTCTGTCATGTCCCAAATTTCTAGCCAGAGCAATGGCAGCATGGCCAGGGTCTATTCACATAGACCACAGGTCAGGGCTAAAGCAAGCTGTCAGCCACAGTCCACTGGGCTAGAAATAACGGGAATGGACACAATTAAGGATTATTTCATAGTAAATTAAGAGTCCAAGGGTGCACA